AGAAAGAAATACAATATAAATGGCAATATAAATATATATTATTTATAAATGAATGAATGAATGAATGAATGAATGAATGAATGAATGAATGAATGAATGAAATTGAAAACAAAGAAGATGCGATATTAGGAGGCTATGGGACAAAGATTTCAAATAAGAAGCATTCTTTTAATTTGACCACAACAATTAGTCACACATTCTGTTAAATATATCCATTTAAAAAAGCCTTACATTAATTTGGTCCAATTAAATTGGCATATTTTAGATAAGACACCCCTTGTTTTCTCTCACAGATAGCAATGCCTCTTCAGTGATATTGCTGGCTTTCTGTGATAGATTTTTTTTATCCTGACTTTTTTACACGTAACTCAAGACAGCAAACATATCTAATACTCCTGCCTCCTCTTTTCCCCACAACAACAACCCTGTGAGGTATGCTCAGTGCTCAGTGACAATGACTGGCCCAAAGTCACCCAGCGGGCTTTCATGCCTAAGGGAAGGCTAGAACTCACAGCAGAAGTGGGCAGATGATATACTGGTTTTTATTAGAATTCAGATTCACTGGATACAGCTTAGCAAAGAAGATGCACACTTGGAAGTAAAGAATTCTCAGCTCAGGAATTTGTTTGGGTACTAAAACTGAAGGTAGATCCTTCTATTAAAAAAATCCTCTCCTGGTCATCTCATGTTTTCAGCAGCATAATTTATAGAAATGGGTGGTGAATAATTGTTCCAATTGTACCTACTGTTTGCAAGTCAAAAACTTTTGCTAGCTTTTGCCAAAACCTTACAGCTCTATTGGTGCCTTCAGATCTACCTGCTGTCCAATACTGCACCTAGCACTGGACCTCAGAACCAAAGTCCAAGGTCCCACAGAACTCCCAAATAATCATCCAGAGGGCAGGGAGTGGACAGAATCTCTCTCTTCCTTGTTTCTTTCTTTCCTTTCTTTTAATTCATATGTTGCCCATAAAAATAGTTTTGCTTCACATTAGCTGCAGATCTCAATTTGCAGATCTAGCATACAGTTCACTAAGCTCTGCCTTCATTGTGGAAAAGGCCACTGAAACTGAGATGGGGATTACATTTTTTTTCTTTCCAAGAACAAAAGCCAAACAGGTTATTATACTCTCCTTTGAACATGAAAACCAACTTTAGAACCCTTTCTGAAATTTGATTTTATGTTGCATGATCAAGCTAGAAGAATAGGTAATAATGGTATATACTTAGGGATGTGTCTCAGTCTAAATCCAGTCAGCATACAATAGTATATGCTTCATGAAATTTCCTATAAATTATTTCTTAAAAGACACAAACATCTGCAATAGTTGACCTTAACATATAATTTTATATGGAACTTTCTCTAATATATATTTTTATATGTAATTTTTCTAAATGTATACATTTGGGAATATAATTTCCACAAATACACAAAAATATTTGCATGTTTTTAAGCAGACAAATATTTTGTGGCAGCTGGCTTAAATGACATACCCAACTGTGCCATGACAGTTGTCATTTTCCCAACATACCATTGTACTTGATAAGATAGATAGATAGATAGATAGATAGATAGATAGATAGATAGATAGATAGATAGATAGATAGATAGATTTTATATCTCTAGTGGTAGAAAACATTTATTGCCCAAAATATTCACTCTTATGAAGAAATTGACACAGCTGCAATTCAGCAGTGCACTGATAGTACTACATAATTTAATTCTCAAATTTTAAATATACATTGAAGAAAGAGAACCATCAATCAAAACCCTGATAGACCCCATAGGAAGAGTCTAAGAGCATAACATCCAATCTTTAGGTCCTCCCTGTTAGGGACAAGCAGCACTGCCACATGATGTGGTGAGTTGTCTTTAACTAGAGGTCTTCAAAGGTCTATCAGAGATACTCCAGTGAATCCTGCCTTGAGCTGGAGTTGGACTAGATTACTTCCATTCTGTCTTCCAGCTCTATGATTCTAGGGACAGTCAAATGCACTGTCACAAACATTTACCGGGTTTTACTGTCATGTCATCAGCTGCACTGACTGACTGAAAAATGTTAGGATCAACAGGGAACATTTATACCTTCCAATTTCTAGTCAAATAAGAGCAAGTTCCTGTTTAGCACAAGGTAGAACATAGTGTGCCACTATTAATTTCACAAACCAATTCAAAACATATAAGAGCCAATTCAGCCATAGTTGCAATGGTGTAAAGTCTAGCAAATTGGACAAGATTGGAACTCAGGTCAGTGATTATAGACTAAAGGGTGGTTATACTCTCTTTTAAATTGTATGCATTTGTATTTTTATTTATGTTGAAGGGGATTAACACTACTATTGCCATTTTAAAAAATTTACATCCTTGACAAAAAATTATATAGATAATTGTGGGGTTTGAAAACATATTCCCACTTGGCTTCCAGATCTTTATCAGAATATCATGGAACCTTCTTTTCAAATGTTTTTACTCAAGTGAAAAGAAACAATTTGTTCCCTAAGAGCTTTTCAATTTCTAAAAATTAATGTATTGATTAAATATGTATTCTTTATTTCTACGAGTAAATTCAAAGCAGCAGTCTTTTTCTCCATCCCAATTCATAGCTAAGCAGAGAATTGAACCTGGTCTCTCAAACCCTAAACCATCACTTTATGCATAATATGATCTTGGCACTTCTGAACAGGTGAATTTTAAAACATAAGTACCTGTATAGTTCACTGGTATGTTGTCTGATCTAACCCAGGTAAGCTGTGGTGTGGGATAGCCAGTTGCATCACAGCGTAAAAGAACATTGCTTCCTAGAGGTGAGGTAATCTTTGTAGCTGAAGTCATTACTGATGGTTTCAAACACTGTTCCAATTCTGCTCTTCGAAACAAGATCCCAGCCAAGCTTTCAGGTCCACTGCAAGCCACAAAAGGGTCCAGAAGTATAATAGCAGTATCCCCAATTTTGGAAAATTCAATCAGCTTGGAAATACGACAATCACAATACCATGGATTGTCCTGCAGACCTTAACACGGAAAAATAATTCAATCATAATCCTGTCAGCAAGTGTACAGTTAGATCAGCATAGTATAAGATATTTGGATTTCCTTTCTCAGTTTTCATCCATTTCCAACTTGAGGTAAATGATTTGACAAGTTATGGACCCAAAGTATTACACCTATTTCCCTGTGATAAATTAGAATATTTTTCAAGATTTGTGCTATTTAAATTGTAAGCAGCCAGCCTTCCCCTATATTTCTGTTATGATTGCTGAAACATTCTGAGGAGCTAAGAAGGAAAATTCTAAAACATCACTTACTATTTTATCAATAGCACCCCCTCCTGAACTTTTATTTGGATTACCTATGCTGCCTGTGAAAAACTTTCCAAAAAATATCTTTGGAGTTTGGGACATATGTATTTAAAGTGATCAGCATAATCTGTGCTAAGGGAGTGATTAGCAAATCTGGAAGAATATCAAGATTATGATATTCAATCATGTTTTTTAGTTCTATGATTTAAAAATTGTAGAAAAATGTATTTCTACAATTAAAAAAATAATCTTATGGAGAAGTTCTACTTACGGACTGAGCAAACAGAGTGAAAATGGAATAGTGCCTGGCTGTACTGAGGGCAGGCATGAAAATGAAAATTTGACACTAGGAGATTTTGTCAGGGATAATTAATGTTTTTAGGATACCTAAGTCTATGGCTGAATATATGTTCTTCCTACCTTATCTGAATCAAGCATTAATTCCTTTCCAGCACACTGTTAAAGATAACACATCCCTATAGCACATGTCTACAGAAAGGACTAGTCCAGTCTTGAATATATCAATTCAGCACATTAAATTCTGCTCTCCACAAGGTGGTATGGCAGACTACACTTAACAACTTCTGGAGCTTTCAGCAAACAAGAGCACTAATCCAAATGGCTTAACTCAATTTTGTTAGTGAATTTCTACTGAACAATAAAATGCCAAACTCCATTTAACAAGTTCATGTACAGGCCAGCAACGGAACAACTGTTCAGAATCAGAAGGAAGCTGATTGATGTAATATTTGTGTTCATACTATGGACTCATTCTGAATTCTCTCAGAAGGCATTACTCAAAGAAAGAAATCAAACTGCTCATGGCTTACCTAATATGACCCTGTGCATCAGGAAGTCTGTATTTCTGGATGTTGCTGTTTCAGAAAAAGGAAGCCAGATATCCATAAGGTCTGATGGCAAGGAGGTCAATTTGTTGCTAGAAATATCTAAGTAAGTGAGATTTCTCAAGTATCTGCCAGCCTCAACTGGAATACTGGTCATTTTGTTATTGTGTAAATCAAGAGTTCGTAGATTGGGCATCTCAGCCAAAGACTCCCAAGGGAAACGCAACAAGAAGTTCCCATCCAGACGCAATTCATGTAGCTGCTTTAAATTATAAAAGCTGCTGGAATCAATGTTTGTGATAGAATTGTAAGTAAGCCACAGATATTTGAGGTCCACCAGGTAGTAAAAAGCATCTGCTGGAATTTTCCTTATGACTGTTTTTTCTATCCGGAGTTTTAGAGTGTCCACAGGAATATTGGTAGGGATTTCAAACATATCAGGATCATTACATAAGACAGACCTAATAACAAACAAAGAGAGGCTGCTGGTGACAAATAGGTTTCCACAAAGCATTAGGAAAATTGTGGTCCTACTGAAAAATAAATCCAGCTACGTTCAATATGGCTCTTTTGAGTAATCTATTTGATTCAGGACTGCATAATAAATCTTCTTTCAGATGATGGGGAATGTTGGGAAAGTATGTACAGAAGACACTTACGTCATTGTCCAAAGAACTTATATATATGCATGGAAAGTAACTAATTTTCCCACTGAATTTTGCTCTACAACATGATATTTTTAAAAGTGTTGCTTCTTTTCAGCAGCAGGAATGAAGAATCATCAGCATCAAACACCTTTCCTGCATCCATGTATAATTTATCAGAAATTTGGCATTTATGGTTAGCAGCTGGGGACTTTAAATTATTTAGTAAATAAGGAGGACCCTCCAAAATAAAGTAGGCTTAAAACATACTTCACCCAGATATGATTACATTTAATTATACCTAACCTCTCCTTCAATGAACTCAGAATGGCATTCCTGTATATTGTCCCTTCCCACCACATTTTATCATCACAACTCTGTAAAATAGGTCAAATTGAATATGATTATCTCTAGGGCATCAAAGGAATTATCTCAACATTCCTAATCTGATTCTATTAGATAGAAAAGCATGTCATTTTTGTGAAATATTTTTATTGTTGTTTTATAAAGGGCACTTCATTATATTATTTTAAAGATGGCATATGTGAAAACTTACTTTCATTTTAAATTAGATGAGCAGATAACACCAGTGCAAAGAAACTTGCTTATTCTCCCTCATGTTAGACATGTGAAGGAATTAACAAAATCTACAGGTTTCTACATGCCTATTGTCCTACTATATTCACTTTGACTCATTTTCTACACCATCTTGCTGTTTTTTAATCAAGGAAAGGCCCAATTCCCACATATAACAGATACAGCTTTGAGACCTTTACCTAGATGGAATCATATTGGTTAGCCTGCTAGGAGCAAGGAAGAACTGTGTGCTTGCTTCTCTGTATAAAAGGAAATAAAGCAATTTTTCACAAAATAGTAGGGCAGAAAACTAGATTCTTTTACACAATATTTTTATATATACAGTAGATAGTGAAATAGGGGTTTTTTAAAGCATATAGATAACACTATTTCACTATAAACTGGAATGGTACAGACTGGATCAGATAAGGTATCTTACTTTTCATGAACAAGGCACATTGCCATAAGCAGATGCTAAGCATAACACATAAGAATTATGCCCAATTCTCTTTGGTGATTCCCTTCCCCCATTTTTGGGGTATGTGTATATGTGTGCATAGTTCTAGCCCACAAGTTGCTGCTTACAATCCAATTTTATGAGATGTTTGTGACTAGCTAGCCAATTCATTACTGCAGTTGACTATAAAAGTGTCTTCCAAAATACAAAAAGTGTCTTCCAAAAATACAAATCTCTCCTTAAAATTTCATTAGGGTTTGTTGTTGTTGTTGTTTGATAAGCATAGGAATCTTACAAGTACAATACCTACTTGAAAAGTAAAGAAAACAAATACCTTGTTCTGGTTCCATCACTCATGCCATGGTAAATGCAGTTGCATTGAGAAGGACAGAAACTATCCACTTCTTCCAAAATGCTCATCATGACACAAACGGCAGCAAACACATGCATGATTTCTTTCCAAGACAATAAATAAATCCAAAATCGAAGATCTTCTATTCCTAGACAATCACCCTGTGGGCTACACTTGTGAATGCAGCTTCTATTTAGTAAGAGCAGATTACCCCGGATTAGCCAAGATCTGCAATTACTTAACCTTCAAATGTATTCTGCAAAAGCTCAGTTGAAACCACTTGTTCTTCATTGTGTCAAAGGAGGAATGCATTACTTATAAAATTATATCTATCTTGAAAGCAAGACTACTAGAACAGCAAGTTAAATACTAAAATTTTTAAAAATTCCAAGTGTACTTTGAAACTAACACAGACGTAGTGAGTATAACAATTCCTCTAAAATGTCTGTTTTATTGTCTGAATAACTACACAGTGCTAAGACTACATATTATGCAGGAAAGTCTTGAAGTGGAAGTCTTTGGATCTCCAAAATGCTTTATTATTTGCCAGATGATGTTTCAAAATTAAATCATTATTTTTTAAACAACAACTGCAGACCTGTAATTCAAAGGTACTGGTAAAGATGTACAGAAATGTAATTTTCTTTAGTAGCAGACGGTACAAATGATCAACTAAACAAAATTTCAGAAGTAACCACTGACAGAAACTTAAACTGTTTATTCATTTCCTAAAGCAAATATTTGCTTAGCTCTTCAACAATTTCTTTATTTTGGAGTATTTCTTTTAATAGAGGTTAATATGTTTGGCAACAATAGCTTTGCAAAAAAACAAAAACCAGTAACAGAAGGTATAATAAATGCTTTTTTTCCTAGGGACATTGAATTGTTTTTAGCAAAAGAAATATAAAATTTCATTACAATTTTTAGTGGATTTCTCACTGAAACAGTATACAGTCTTACTTAAATTTCCTTTCTATTCACCCTTGAATTGAATAGACTCACAAACTCACAACTCACAAAATTGAATAGTGACTGTTGAAAAAATACTCAAGTATTAATTGTTCAACTGTACTCATTGCCATAATGTTGAATTGCTTTTAGTATAGATATTTATGGTATAATCCAAGGAACTGTTATGCATGTACAGTAAAGCAGAGGATTGGTTACCAGGACCCCTGAGTCTCTTAGGAAACAAAAGCCATGATGCTTGTATCTTTCCGTATCATATAGTATCCATAAAGTCAAATGTAATCACTAGAAGGCAAAGTTATTGTACATCAATGCATAGCTACATGTGAAACAGATCCAACTTTCTTTGCAGGGCAAAAAACATGATGAGCTTGTAGGTACAGGTGGATAGGCTTTAGAGCAGCATCCTTATGCAACTGTACTTTGAGATACATGCATTGGCAAGAGGTTGTTGATTGTTACCTCCTGCCATATTTGACACTGGACTATTGCAAGGATGGCCCTTCGAAACCTGCAAGAGGGAGAAATGCTTTAAGTGTCTGATAAAAAAGATCAGCAGTAGTTCCGGGCAACACAGGAAGATATCTTTTACCAAGTCAGCTATTGGTTAATCTTCATCAGTATTATTGTGCTGATTGACAACAACCCTCTAGGAATTCTGACAAAAACCCTTCTTCTCAGCCTTACTTGTAATTGTCAGAGATTGAAAAGCATGTTTTGGGAGGAGGGTCCTCAGGGTTATTCTCAGTGGTTTCCCTCCCTGAGGTCATGCATTTTGTTGTTCCTGCCATTCTGATTTAGCAGAGCTGGGCTATCAAAATCTGGATTACCACTAGATGACAGAGAATTCTAACTCTTTACCACCACAGGGTCTAGATTTTTGCTACTAGATCTGGTAGCTGTACTTTGGCGCTGCTTATTCTCATGCCTCTTCCTCTGGACCTAATCCATCCTACCTTCTGGGGGAGAGGACAAGTATTTTTTTCCTTACCCTTCTCATGGATTGTTTGCTTGAAAATGGTAGGCAGAAAAGAGAGAGCAGCAGTTTGGCAGGTGGACAACAATGACAATTCCTGAGGGAACCCTTTTACACATGTGTCTCCCTCACCAACTTTACAAACAAAGAGCACTGTGTCATTTAAATAGTCAACTAAATTGTTGATAGGCTTTTACTAGCCTATTTTAATCAGTTGCATGAAATGTTATCTTACATCACAAGCTACGTGCACATACTGTGCAGCGCTGGAGGAAATGGAATTGTAAGCAGTGTGATCAATGGGAAATTATAATTAATATACAATTACAGTCAATGATAAAGCTCCATTTTAATACCAGATAGTCACAAAGAAGTCCTACTCCAGGTCTAACTTTCTAACCACACTGGCTTCCTTACTTTAAAATTATTGCATAGTTTAGGGCTACTTAAAGCTCAACTTTCCCCCATCCATCCATGCTCATCCCATCTTGCAATAGAGCCACTTACTTTTTGTTTGCAATGACATAAATGCAGGGATTATAGAACGTAGATGACTTTGCAAACAGTGGGGCTATGATCGCCATGGTGGGGGGAATTTTCTTTGGGTCTCCAAAGGAAGACCATAAACACACAATAGAATATGGAGACCAAGCCAGCAGAAACATCAAAATCATGATAACAGACATCTGTAAACAAAAACAAAAATGTAACTCCTTAAGATTTTTGTTAAGTCTATTTTAAGCATCTATTTGGTCTCTTCCTCAAATCTGTATTCTGTCTAGCCTTCCCCTCCCCCTCCCCCCCCCATCTCTAGTATCCTCCAGATGTATTGTACTGCAACTTCCATCTTTCTTCAGGAAATCCTGGAAAGCATATTTGGAGAGCACTAATTTAGGAAAAATCTGCATTGCTACATTTTGACACAGAATGTTTAGGACTGAAATATAAAAACTGGAGCTATCATGGTTAAATTAAGTTAAATAGAATCACTAATTGTAGAGTATAATTAAATGTTCCAACAGCTGCAGTTAGCAATCCTAAGAGAAGCAGAAGTTATAACCTGTCCTGAATAAGAACAGCATGTTGTAGAGAGTTACCATATGGTCTCTTACCTCAATCTGCAGGCAACTTCAGGTTACATTAGCTCTGCCTTACATAATTCCAATGTTACCAAGGGTGCACAAGAATTATAGCCACCATTTCCAGGTGGGACAAAAGGGGTGGACAAGGAAGAGCTGGTTCTGCTACAAGATAATAAAATCCACTGCCCACAAGATGTGCTCGCTCTCTCTCTCTCGCTCTCTCACTCTGTCATCATCTCTAGCTGCTTTGCTACTGTTGCTACTCTGTCCTGTAGCCAAGTCCATTCCTTCTCTCTTCTCAAGTATCATACCTGGACATGGCTGCTGAAATATTCTTTCTAGCCCTGAATCATTTCTCCATGCATATGTGGTGAAGATATACTTTCAATCCCCTCTTCCAATTTTTCCTTTGTTCAAGCAAAGATCTTTTAAGTTTAGAATTTAGTTCTAAATTCTACAATTTTAATTCTTTGTAATCTATATATAAAGACTTCTAAATGCCCTGCTTTGAATTCTGTATTTTATGCTTATATGTTATTGCTTAACCGTTCTTATCTAACTCTTTGACTGTCAACTAGATACCAATCTGTATAAGCTTAATCCCCTTCACTGGCATTGTATGCTGGTACCTCAATAAACTGTAAATCAAAATTCAATAAATTGTAACCTGGAGCTAAAGTATTGTCTCAATACCTTTGGGGATATTTTTTCTTCTCACTTGCATAGATGTACACCCCACCTATATTCCAAAGATCCACTTACACATAGTTTCCTCACATGTAACTTATTACATCTACTAAACCCAAATATTTCCATAACAATCTTTTGGAAAATGAGCACACTGAAAAAATATAACAGGCATGAAATAATATTTAGTATCTGAATTGTTATTCACAAACTTTTCAGTTATTTGATGTGCTTAAGTATAGTAGCTCTTACCTTTCAAAAACTGGTCTCCTCCCCTAATACGTATATACATATATATCCCAATCAGATTTGTGTTCAGTGCAAACATAGCAGTACCACACATAGATGTAGTATGTCTCATATAAGCCACATCACAAACAGGCAATGAAGAAAAATAGGGTGATGTGAAGAACTGATGGTACAAAGAAGGTATGAGGTAGAAAGGCATAAGAGATCCAAGTGCATGTGATCTCCAAGCAGAATGTTTACATTTTTCACCTGAAGCAATAATGACTATTTTTATTGTCTGACTTTCCTCAATCCCAACAGAGAGCGAGAGAGAGAGAGAGAACATTATCTATATTCTAAGCTGTCCTGCTTATTTCTCTTAGCACCCTACACAAAACAATTCTGAAAGAGAACAAAGGTACTTTCACATCATGACCTTACCTTTGTAACATCGACTTGATCCAACCAATCTACACTGATGCTTTCTACATAAGTGCTTCTGGTATACCGCTTCACAGTTTGAGAAATTTTGTAGTAACAGTAAAACATGATGGATAAGGGAATGACAAAATTAACAGCAATTACTGACATAGTGTAAGAAACAAAGGATCTGAAAGTGAAAAAGACCAAGCAGATGACTAGAAAACCTTCCTCTCTTTAGTGGCACAAACACCCGAGGATGTTCTAAAAGTACTTTGAACTTAAATACTGAATTTGTTGATAGTTGATACTCTAAACTTAGCTACTTGTTGGAGTGGTTTAGACAGTAATCCTACAGCCATTTAGCAGAAATTATATCACTGAGCTTGCTTCCAAATAAATTTATGCAGGATTCATAGGTGTCCATTCCTAACCACAATGACTCCAAAACAATGAAACATGCATTGTGAGATCACAGGGCAAACTCCACCCTTTTGTACAGGTTGTCCTCAACTTACGACCGCATTAGGGACTGGAAAATTTGTCATTAAGCGAGGCATCACGTGACCACACCCAATTTTGTGGTGGTCGTTAAGTGTATCATACGGTTCCTCTTGATTTTGCTTGTCAGGAGCCGGCTAAGAAGGTCACAAATGGTGATCACATGACCCCAGGACACTGCAACCATTGTAAATACATGCCAGCTGCCAAGTGCCTGAATTTTGATCACGTGATTGTGGGGACGCTGCGACAGTCGTAAGTGTGAAGACCAGTCATAAGTCAATTTTTTCAGCACTGTTGTAACTTTGAATAGTCGCTAAATGAATGGCTGTAAGTTGAGGACTACCTGTACTTATATCACCTGACACTGTCCTTTTGGCCCTGCTATGCCTACATCCATGTCTAACACAACTGTCTTAGAAAGCAGGAGCTGCCCAAGTTTCACACTCTGTTAAGGACCCTTTGCTTCTTTTTTACTGCTTCTGCTTTTCCATTGGCCCTTTCCATTGACCCTTTCCAAGAGTCAGACATATTATGTTAGCCTTTGTTTCTAGCCTATATACATGTTTAAATATTCTTTTCTTCAAGACATAAATGAAAAGGTTAATACTAAAATAAGTAGAACAATCCAGTAGTTATGCTTCAGAAAACAATAGATGGACCCAGATCCAGTGGGTGTTCTCCCATGTCCTAGAAGAAATATCAAACCCAAACACTGTGGAGATTTTCTTTCTCAGTGATTTGCAAGACTGTTCTTTCCAAATTGTCCAATGCTTGCTCTGTTTTTTACAGCAAGGCTTCAGTGACATTAGAACAGCGCAAGATTATAATCATGAATATTTTACTTCACCATAAAAAGAACGTACATGTCATTTTCCCTCCAGTTTATAGTACAAGTAGCTCCAGTTGGATCTGGGGCATAGCTTGCCCATCCTACCACAGGCATGGAGGCCCAAAAGACTGCATTGGTCCAGGCAGCAAAAATTAGGGCAATATAGTTGTGAGCAGTTAGTCTGTTACCTGTTGGAAAACCAAAATGTTACCACTATTTATTGTTTCCTATCATTTGAACTATTCTATTTAGAAGCAAAGAATACAAAAGTTACAATAAAAATGTTATAAATACACAAATCAAACTGCAATTATTCAAACCTTAAATTCATGTTCATATCTATATGATATCTAACCAACTAACTTCCCCCCTTAAAAATTGCATATACTGTATGTGTATATATATTATTATATTATATTATCATATACACACACTTACAAACATTGATTAAAAAGCTGAGAAAGTTGCTGAGAACATTCCCTGTTACCCTAAAAAATATTTATTCAATCTGGTCCCCTCCAAATAGATTACACTAAAAACCTATCATACCCATTTATTAACTTGATATTAGAGTAGTTGTAGTCCATCATATCTGGAGAACAAAAGATTAAGAAAGGCTCTCTAAGACATAACACTGCCTTTACTCTAGCATTAATGTATTTCATTATGCTATACTTAATAAATAATTGCTTAAATAATTTCTGGATAGTCTTCCAACTAGATACTGACTAGACTAGAGTCTAAGTTATAGCAAAATTGCTTCATCACGTGCCTAAACTAAGTATTAAAAGGGGGCATTGGGTACATTGTCCACAAAACAATCATATGATTTTGTCCCTATCAACATCTTGGATCTCATAGTCTGATTCCAGTCTATCATAATCCTTCACAATTAAGATACCTTAAGCTACATATGCCTAATTTTTTTGACGTATTTGACCTATTCATAATTTTAAGACCATGTCATGAGCATTCTCACAATATGGCTATAATGGGCCCAGGGCAGAATTAGTTTAGTATTTATAAAACTTATATTTATTGAAAGGGAAATGTGTGGATATGTTCCCAGTCAGTTTCTGCCTGTGCAGAACCTATCTTTTTATACCTTTATTTTCTTTCCCAGCAGGTGAGCATACTTCCAAACATAGCACTTGGCTGCCCTCATTCACCATTTTAATCTTCTAAAATGCCCAAAGATTACAGTGCTTGGCTTCTTACTGTGTGAAGCATGTTATCAGAGCTCCCCAATGATAAAAGAATTTAGGTCAGGTGGGTCAGGGAGCTTGGCAAATCAAGTACTGAGATATTTGCAGTATCTAGTATTTACAGAAACCAGATCTCCTGCTCTGGTCTTACTCTATAAAGCTAGCCACGGAGAACTCAAGGAATATGCTATACTTCCTTCTCCTTCTGACACCTCCAATTTGGTATACAGTCCCTCTGACTTCTTGCTCTATCTTCTGTCATTCACACAATTAAAAATATAACCTCATTATCTCTGGATTGAAAACAGAGGTACTGTAGGTTTTGCTAGGCAGTCCTCCAAAATACAAGAGCAAAATTAACTGAAGATACTTTTAAAATGGCAAACTTTTACAGCTTTTGTCTCCACAATTGTTTCTGTTATCTACAAGCAACAGATAATACAAGTAGACATAAGGTAAAAAAAAAAAACATTCTGGAAAAAAGTGATGGCAACCCCCTTCAATATTATTGCCAAAAAAATGACATGAAGTTCATCAAGGGTCAAGCTCAACATGAAGATTTCTCCTTTACTACAAAACTGAACAACATTGTATGCAAAATTCAAATAATATAGAGTTCCAAAATATGCTGAAGAACAAATCACCAAAATCTATGCTGAAATACTGTATGCTTTTATTCCAGAATATTGAGCATCCTACCTATTTGAGGCTTGCAGATTGTCAAGTAACGATCTATGGCGACAACAGTAAGCAAACCAATGCTTGCCATTCCAAAAAAGATATTTAAAGCGGCATAAATCTAGAATTTAAGAAATGATACATTGCTTAAAAATAATCTTTGTTGCCTTCAAAGGTCTGGAATCAGGATTTTTTTTAAAATTATTATCAAGCGACTTTGCCTCTTATACAAAGATACGTATATGAAGATCCCTTTGTTTAATGTCATATTATCATTTTTAGCTAATCAGTAAAGCCCAGCTTAACACAGTTATTCTGTTTATTTATTTATTATTTTATGAAATTTAGAGGCTACCTGTGGAAGACTTACAGTAAAAACAGAAAATAATGAGAAAAGAAAGCCCCATGTGTCCAGATAAGCACATTCCCTATAATAGAAAACATAACAAATAAGGATCCTTTCCTGAGGCCTGGGAAAAGAGCCAGGTTTTTAAAGGCTTCCAGAATATCATCAGGTTAAGAGCCAAACTAATCTCTGGTGGATATCATTCCAGATATGCCAACAGAGAAGGCACACTTCCAGGGTCCTGATAGATGGCATTGCTTAATCAACTGGACCCAAAACATACCCACTCTGCCTGATGTTATTGGATAGGTGGAAACCATGGGAGATAGGCAGTCCCTCAGATAACCTGGCCCTATGTTATAAAGGGCTTAATAGACAATAACCAGCACCTTGAATTGCAAATGGGAGCTCACCGGCAACCAGTGCAACCTTTAGAGAATTGGTGTCACATTGGCATACCATCACATGCACAAAGTTGCTACTGTCTCTGTATATAGGATCAGATGTAGCTTTCACATGGTCAGCCCCATGTAGAGTACATTGCAATAGTCCAATGTGAGGTGACTAGGGCATGAGTGAACATCAGAAGGATCTCACAATCTAGGAGTGAGCAGAATTGGTACACCAGATACAGCTGGGCAAAGGCTTTCTTAGCTACAGCTGCCACCTGCTCTTCAAGCAGGAGCTGGGAGTCCAAGATGACCCCCAGACTGGGCACCAGTCTTGAGTTGGGGGTGCAATCCCATCCATGACTAAAGATAGTAAGTTCTAAGATTGGGAGAGGGGAGGCAAAAGTCCACAGCCATTTTGTCTTGGCAGGATAGAACCTGAGTCTGTTCCTCCCCATCCAGATCCTTACAGCCTCCAGACACTGGGACAGTGTTTGTGTTCACTGGATAGTATAAAAAAATTACAAGTCAACAAGTGGAGCTCAGTTTTCCCTGCTCTGATTGTCAACAATATTTTAGAAGAGGCCTTTCCTATATATAATTTAAGTCCTAATCCTTTTAACAGGAGCTGCTGGGTTTGAGTTTATGACCACTGGAATACAAAGCATATATCTTGCCTTTGAACCATATTGTTTCCCCTTGAGGTTGTCACAGTCAGTTGCCCCTAGTATGTTTCAAAACAAAGCTAGGAACAAAAGTATTTTCTACTGTGCTACTCAAGGCAGCCATCTAGTGACAAATTTGATACTTTTTCTATCCTGATTTGCACACGGGGTACTCATTTTCAGCTACTATAGAAAAGTATTTTGGGTAGTCTTTTGAGAGCAAAATAGGAACAAGTTTGTAGTGTATGAAAAAATAAGATAACTTTCTCAAATTTGGCAGATGTGTTGGGACTGTAACTTCAAGAGTTTCCAGTCAGCGTGATCTCTGGAATAAAGCATAGTAGAAATAGAGTTGACAGTTACTTTTTTTTTTTTAAGAAAATAATTCTGTAATCTTAGTTCAAGAAGTTTTTTTAACTTAATCAAAGTGGAAGAACAGCAGATGTTTGTTGGGATCAAATGTATTAACTTACTACATCCAAAACAGGAGACAGCCATGATCCAAGTTAAATCACTGCTCCATCTATTTCTCTAACTCAGATTTGTTTTCTGGCCTGATATTTTCCCATCACTTAGTTCCTTTAAGAGGAGATGCCAAGACTTATCAGGTAGTGTGCAAAGTGTTTGCTGCATTATATTGACAAACCATCCCTTCTTCCCAGAAGATGAAATACTACCTGCTTCTATATGTATCTAACCCCCCCAAAAGCTTCTGAAGAGCTCTCAAATAAATTAATACAAGTACCAATTTATAATCCTAATTGTGTCTTTAAACATTTAATATATAGTGGGTCCACCTAAACAATCCTTTTTATGCAAAGGTTTTGTCTTTTTACTTTATGGACCAAGATACATGAAATGTATCTTCAATTTAATCTTTTCTCTGTATTTGCTTCTCTTTTGGCACCAACACTCAGAGAAATTTAGCAGTAGTTCACAAAAATGTTTTTTTGCCACAAACACATTAAGCGGAAAGAGATTTGTTACTGAACTGTTCATGCTAAAAAGAACTGCTAGAAAAACTTAAGTACAGTCTGTTATGTTCTCTGTTTCTGAACATGCTGATGTGAACAGGTACAATATGTGTGATGTGATCCTTTATTACCCAAATACCTGGCAACCCATGTAGCCAAATTTCCAGCTTCCATGCAGATCTGAAGCCGCAGACATGGGATAGCCAATACTACTCACGCCAATATCCGTAAAAGCCAGATGAATAATAATAGTATTGCTTGGTGTTCGAAGTTCCTTAAATTTAATGAAGATGCTTAAAACAACAATATTACTGAGAAGACTTATGACTCCTGTCAAAAGATTAAAAAATGGAGGGAGGGGAGTAAACATTAGAAATTTTAGCTTTAGTAGACATAATCCAAGTCTCATACTATTTACAAAGTGACTAAGATCATCATCATCATCATCATCTTCAGACTTTAAAAAAGCCTAATTAAACATTAGTTTGATGCCAGTTTGGTGTAGTGGTTAAGGCATTGGTCTAGAAACTGGGAGACTGAGTTCTAGTCCCATCTTAGGTACAAAGCCAGCTGGGGACCTTTGGCTAGTCATTTTCTCTCAGCCCTAGGAAGCAGGCAATGGCAAACCACTTCTGAAAAACCTTGCCAAGAAAACTGCAGGGACTAGCCCAGGCAGTTGCCAGGAGTCAAAAACCAACTTGAAGACACTAATAATAATAATTAAACATAGGCCTATGTAGAGCCAGGCAAGGAAGAATCAACCATCTTTGAATAATGTAACTTTCAGAAACAGGCTAAATTCACACACAACACTAAAATCATAATGCATTGATAGGGTGGTTTATTTGGCTTTGAATTAGCAATGTTCCATGAACCCAACAACTGTGATTTTTAACTATAATTGATGGCTTATTCTATGTGAATCAACCCCATTAGAGTTTATACATATCATGCTTGAGCATGATGTGTAAAAACAGGTACAATATCAACTAAATATTTCATCACCAGCCCCACTGACATGGTAAAATTCAACGAAAAATAACTAACATAACTTATGGATGAATATGCGTAACTTAATGAGCTAGAAAATTGACTTCACTGTTATTTCTCAATATGTCAGTGACAATATTATAACTAATTTGTTTGAATTTTATTATAAATGACTTTTTTAAGAGTATTTTTTTTAAATTGCAACTATACTAAGCAGTTTTGGTTTGCAGCAAGATCTGCAGCAAATTACAATGACAGCAAAATGACAACATGTGAATGATGACATACACATGCAAATGTTGTGATTCTATAGCTGCATCAGGACATCTGACACAAGTAAACTGGCATTTGCACTACTAGGTCTTCAGTCATGTGTCATTATTTCTCCCTATGCTTCCCTGCAGAAACCCATGAGGCTTTGTTTAAATTTTGTTTATTGAATAAATCACAACTGGCTAAGATCGCCCAGCACATAAAGCTATAAACTATAATTTATAATCAATAATCTCTTGGTTTGTACAACACTCTAAGCTGTTTACTCTATCAGCAGATATTTGTCTACTGTAGATCTTCATCTTATATAAAGTGTCATAAAGAAAACACCAGATTTCTTTATTACAGACTGAAATCTCAAAAGTATTGTAGTTACAGAGAACATTCTCTTAAAACAAGAGACTTAAAATGGAGCAGAACACTCAAGCAAAGTTTCTGAGGAACTTTAACTCTTGGATGACTTCAAATTGTTCCAATTTGAATTACCATATTTCCAACATTAATTAGAAACCCTTTGCTTCTACAGTCTGGAAGAGATTCAAAAACATAATGAATAAATAAACAAGTCTTCCCTATGGGTTTATTTGATTTATAGTCTACCTGTCCACGCAGGTGGAATATAAACTGAATAATACATATGTGGCATGTGATTTTCAGTAAATCCTGCACAATTTAATGCAAGCTGGAAGAGTTTTTAAAAGCAAGGAAAAGCTTATGAGAAACAGTTGGTGGCTCTGGGTACGTGAGGAGACACAAGAGCTGTCTTCAGCTTTTCAGGTAAGCTGTCCTGTAGAAGAGTTGTTCAGAAAGATTGGACAAAAAACCAAACAAACAGTGGATTCAAATTGCAAGAAAGTGGATTTCAATTGGATACTGGGAAAAAAATCTTAAGGATAAGAGTTGTTTAACACTACATAGGAAGATGATGGACTTTCCTTTGTTGAAGGTATTTAAACAGAATCCGGATAGCCATCTCTCAGAGACACAATAGTAATTGTAAGGCAGGAATCCATTACATGCTGCCTGGGGAATTCTAGAAGTTGAAGCCCACAGAAATTAAAGTTGCTCAGGTTGAGAAACACAGACTAAATGATGCCCGAGGTCCTTTCCAACCTTTATATTCTGTGATCCCATTATGGAAACAAAAAACAAGTTATCATTCAAGAATACAGCGTAACTACCGATCAATTGCTTAATAAAAGTTTGATCGATACCAACTCAAAGAACCACCTGAGGCTAGAACACAGAATCCACCCCAACCACCCCACAAAACCCAAAAATGGGAGAATGTAGTATGAATCAGATATGATGTGTTTGCATATGTTTACTCACTATTAATGCAATCATAGTTTACTTATTCCAATTTTGGGGGTTACACTGTACAGGAGCTAGGTCTGCACAACACAACACAAAATATGATTGACTAGTCTGTGAAACAGTCAGTTTTGTAAATGCAGCCAATAAGTAGGAAGGATCTTGATGAAAACAGCCCCCATCCCTAACATTTTATTAATCCCAAACATATGTAGCATTTCTTTCTTTTGCATGTTGACTTGAGTTGATATATTTAATTTAGTGCAACATTAGGTTGGCCTACATCAAAGCAAGTTCCAGTGAACTCAAGTAGATCAACATCTAGGTAAATGCATTTAGAATTAAAGCCCAGAAAGTTGTTCTACGATGTGTCAGACCCTTGATCTACCTAGCTTAGTATTGTCTCATGTACAGGTAGTGGCGCTAAAGGCAGGGGGACTTCCAGCCCCTTACTCAGAGCTGCCAGGGACAGCAGCTTAGATCTTCTGCATGCAAAACAGTTTTTCCATCACTGAGTTACTACTCTTCCTAGCCTTTAAGTGACTTTAAGTGCAAGACTTGTAGAGATTAGAGCATGCAGAACTTTGAAGGCAAAAAAGGTCTTCAGGGTATATTAAGGAGCAAAAGGAGAACTTGTCTACAATGCCTTAAAGCAATCCCATCTTTTTCTGGGCTCACCCAGCAGATCCTGGAAAAAGAAGTACTTGGTTTAAAAAGCTGCACATTGATCTACTTGCACATCCCTGGGTACTCGAGAGTTCCTTTTGCCTTCAAATCCAAAGAGTAACAAATCATTTTCAACACTTCACATTTATTTGCTTATGTTTAGTTAAAGCTGAAAAACAAAAAATAAAGCGACAATTCTCTCTTTATTGAGATGCAATAGCTATTTTCTTTACCAAATGCATTCAACATTCATACCTGCTGAGATCAGATATGCTGCAATAATGTTGTGTTCGCTCTGTGAAAAGGCTGATGGAGGCTCACTTTTACTTTCCACAGTCATAGCAGAATTCCAAAATGTGGCAAGGGAAAGAAAATTAGGAAGAAACTTCAAGAGCTAAACTCTGAAAGATGAATTCAAAGAAGGAAGAGAGGAACTTTTGCAATCCCTTTAAGATGAATTTTCGTCCCTTAAAACTTCCTACAAAATTCCAACAGGATTTTGATTAAAAAAAGGCTAAGGGACTTAGATTCCTAGCCTTTGAAAGGGAAAAGCTTGTTAGGTCAAACAAAGAACAATATAGAGTTGTTTTTATTTTCAGTAAGATTTTTGTGCCTTGTGGTAACAGAGGTTTAGTAGTTTCACAGGACCCAGATTCTGAACTTCAGTCTTTAGGAGTTTTACTAACACAATACTTTCAGGATTTTTAATAGCAAGTCATAAAGCAAAATAAATGCAGTTTCCATCAAAATCTATTTTTTCTCTGTCCATAAGGAACAGGTTGTAGATGCACACTGCAAACTGGAGGTCTACCTTGAAATATTTGTAACACATCTGGTCTAAATGGGCTTACATAAACTTGGATTGTCAGTCGAACATGGTTATTATTGACTTTGGCTGTACTTACACAACATGCTAAGCCATGAGCCAGAAAACTACATTATAGGTCCATTTGGGCCAGCTGTCTTTCAGGAAATCCTTAAAAACTTGACTCTGGGAATTGAAGTGCACACACTTTAAAGTTGCCAAGGTTGAGAAACCTTGCTCTAAAGCATTAGACAATATTAATATTCTAAAGCATCTTTACCAAATTATTTTCAAAGCATGCACAGCCCAATCTTACATCTAAGTTATCCAAGCTATTGTAAAGCATCATAGCCTCTCTCTACAGCAGTGCTTCTCAACCTTAGCAACTACACTATGCTCTACAGTGTAGTCTAAATTACAATGAAGTACGGAGGCTGGTTATAATTGAACCTGGCTCACAAGACGTGCATAACCAACTGAATAGGAAGATAACAGCAAACAAAAACAATTGACTTCAGATCTTGCATGGTGAGTTTTTCCTGTTTATTGATATTTTATTGAATCCACTTTAGTGCCTCAGTTTATTTGCCTGCATAATTATTTATGACTTTGGAGCAATTCAGGATCAAATGGTAGGTCTCTGGGAATGTGCAATACATCTGCAAGATTTCTAAATTCCGGTATCAAGACAAATTTCTTTGCTCAACAATTTTCTTGGAAATACCCTATTAATTACATGGGTACATCTTTTGCCTTCAGCTCTAACTAGTGGTTCTCAGGATAGCAAAACACAAAATAGCTTTCACAAGCTTTAACTCTCCTCCCAAACATAACTGAAAAGAATGCATTCTTCCTGTGTACCCCAAATTCCAATTCACTATTCTTCCCATCATTTCTTGTGTTGAATGTTAAGTTGTAGAGGAAGTGCCTGCATTCTTCCACTAACTGATGGGACCAAATTAACATTTAACCTATGCTACACCCGTTTTTCTCTTTGCAGCTTCCAATCTTTGAGTCTCTTGCTAGCTTCCTCACATCTTTTTTCATCACTCCTTTTACTCTTCCATCCTATACTGAATGCTACAGATACTCTGTTCAGAAGCATTCACCTTGTAAGATCCACGCCAGGGAGATTTGTCTCTTTTTCCTGTTTCATACATTTATTTTTCTTGTTTTGGGGCAAGTCCGGTATAAAACATGTTTGTGTGTCAATGAACATGACGTGGAAATTGTAATGTAAGAAAATATTTTAAGCTGCTTTTAGAGGTCCTGGCCTTGGAATTCTTTAGCAAGCCCAAGTTGCAGTCTGAACCAAATGCACTGTACAAAGATTAATCACTGAAAATTTTACTGGGAAAAAAGGTAAGATTGCATTTCAAAGTATTCTGCCAGATCCTAGTAAGCCTTGCTGAACACAGTGGGATTATTGAATAAATATGTACAACTTGACCAGTTCAGTAATTACCATTCAGATAGTTGAGGATGTGGAAGTTGTAACCTAATACAACTGAAGGCTATCAAACTAGGGATAATTAATGCATACACATTATATTTTTCCCCTTTCTAGAAAGGACTTCCATTGCATAACTTGCTTCATTCACAGTGAATGGTACAGAACTCTTACAAATAATTTATTTTCAAGTTTCAGAAAATCAGCAAGTGCAATATGCACATGGGATACCTTATGTGCACACAGAAATCCACTCCATTCTCATATTACAGGCAACCCCACTATACATTTCCGAATGTTACAGAGCAAGGGAACACCTCGGATAGAAAAATAAAAGTACTCTGGAGGTTTCTTGCTTCAGGAAGCTACAGATCATAGTTGCAATCTCAGAAGCATCTTCTGCTCATAAAACATACCACAGAAAAGGCATCAAAACACTGACTGACCCTTTCAGAATCCCAACTGCTTTGAATAAACTAAATGGATGATTTGGAGGTATGTTTCAATCAGTTCATGAAAGGCCCTCTGAACAGTTTGCTCAGCCTTAGTAAAGATACATATTAAATGCATCTATCCTCCAAGAGGACAAAATGTATGAGTTGCTCATTAAATGAACTATCTCCTAAGTGAAGCCAATCAAGTTGCGAATTGTCATTTTTTTATTTTAAAGCCTGTTAAAAAAAAAGTTTCTAGATAATCAGACATCACACATACTGACAGTACTTTTTTCTGTTTGCCATTTTAACATTTAAACCAGTGAGCTAAATGAAAAATGTAGTCATCTACACCTCACGTCCAACATCAAACAAATGGAATTTAAGGCCACTGAACATTATTCTATAAAACAATATTGGCTGATACAACTAGGAATGTTAAATTAAATGTTATCTTTCAAACCCTAATTAAGATGTAGCGTCCTTGGTGCTCTCTGGGTGTGATTGTTTCCTTGCAGATGTTTCATTATCCAACTAGGTAACATCATCAGTGCCCTGATGTTACCTAGTCGGGTAATGAAACGTCTGCAATCAAACAACCAAGTTCAGAGACCACCAAGGACTCCGCAGTCCAACCCTGAGCTACATATATTTTCTTCTATTGGAATTAATTAAGATATTTTGATACATTTTGGGGTGGATCTATAAATTAATATTTTAAAATCAACTACCAGAAATCCAGAAGATTTTTATTTGAAATTTTTAACTAGGCACCTTTTAAAGTTGTTATTTAGAGTTTCACTGATTGCTCAAGTGGATAAAATCCTGACATTTAAAATAGTCCCCTTAAAAAGTTTAAAAATAATCTTCTGCTTAATGTCTCCAAATAATGACACAGATTGCAAGTCATATACCTGTAGTTCTTAAAACTGTTGCATATTAAAAGAAACCCATAAACTATTGGCATGATAACACTTTACTCCTTCAGCTAACTGTATGCTTAAAATTGCTTCCATTTTGTGGCATTCAAGTTCATACGAAGTCTTCTCTTTACATTTTACTGACGAAACCATAAACTTGGTGTTTCCAGCAGCTCCACTTAGTGTCCTCTGCCTAATATGAAAACAAAACAAGATAAATTAAATTAAATTAAATATATGCTAACCAAAGAACTACCAGAGGAGCGAAACAAAGCCCCCACCCCCACCAGCACTGGCAAGTCACAGCGCAGCAGATAAAAATAGAGCAAACAGCAACCCGTGTTAGGACTGAAG